CACAGCTCACAGCAAACTCACTCTTGGGCTTAAGTGATTCTCTTGCCTCAGCCTCCCAAGTACCTGGGACTACAGGCACCCGCCACAGTGCCCAGCTATTTTTTTGTCATTGTTGTTTAGCTAGCTGGCCCCGGACCAGGTTCAAACTCATCAGCCTTGGTGTATGTGGCTGGCACCTACCCACTGAGCAGGGGTTCTATAATTGCAGGAAGTTCTGTCGGACAGCGCTGCTATAAACTTTAAGAGAATCATTTCAAGATTACTGCAGAGGGAAAAGCCAAATCGTGTAGGGTGAGGATCAAACCATAGTAAAAAGACACTTAAGATTATCAATATACATTAACCTTCTAAGTCCTGGCAGACAAGGAAGAAAGAGATGAGGCGGTAATTGAATGGGGATGCAGGGGATGCAAAAGCCCTGAGCACCAGTTAACAGTAGAAAGAACAGGCTGAATAAAAGTCCCAGTTAATGATAGCACAGAATGGTAAAAGTTCAGGTGCTTTAAAGGCCAGAGTATCCACCTGGCACCTCATATAATCAGCATTTTCAGCAGCCTTTCTTAATTTATGGTAGATTTGCCTATGAGATGTCAAATGGGAGGAAGCTGAGTGATACACAGTTCTGATATGTTTTTCCTGTGTAAAATCCTAAATTTTTTCATAACGCTTTTCAGGCCCAACTTCGACACTGTATGTCCAAGCAAGCAGAAGTATTAAGTAAAGGAAAGCGGCAGACAGAGGGCACATTACACAGTTTGAGGAGACAAGTTGATGCTTTAGGGGAATTGGTCACCAGCACCTCTACAGATTCAACATTGTCACCCAGTCTGTCCCAAATGGAGTCTACCCTTGCAGAGGATTCTCAACTTGGACAAAATCAGGTAAGAGGAATCTCTTAACAGAGATTTTACTATATTACATGAAAAGTACTTGAAAGGATTAGGGTGCATCATCTGGGCAGGGGTGTCTAATCACTTTTTCATTGGAAAAATAAGAGATGTCTTGGGCCACACAAATATACAAACACTAACAAAAGCTGATGTGCAAAAAAAAAAAAGGTCTGTGCATACTTTTTACAATATCCAACACCACAGATAAGCAAAAGAGACCTCAAATAATCTGCATGCAGCTGCCTGCCGCAGGTGGGACACCCTGGGTACGATATTCAAGATATAGATATGCCACCTTAAACTCTAGAGAACTTGTCTCAGCAAACACTCTTTTTGGGTCCCTGGGAAAACTAGAATAAACTAGTTGGTAGATGTAGAAAGAGGATAAACTGATGGCTTAGGAAACAGACTAGAACTGGAGATCAAAGACCTGGCAGAGATGTAGTTAATTGGACTATTAATGTTCTCCACTTCTGGGTTTCCTTATTTTCTACTCCATCAAGAGCTTAGACCTGTGGATTCAATTTGAGTCCTAGTTTAGTTGGTATCTTTTGAATGCGGACCTATCTTAGGGCCTATAAAAACCTTGAGTTTCACAAGAGTTTTCTGTGTGAGAGTTAAATAAGGTTAATAACGATCATTTAGGAGGAACATAAAATACTCACAGAACTGGTAAATGCTAACAGTGTAACTGTCAATATAATAGCTTCCGTTTTTGAGTGCCAACTATGTGCACATACATTTTACATATATCATCTCATTTAATCTTTAATCTTTACATTCTGGGAAGTAGGCATTATCCCTTAATAAAAGGAAATTGTAAAATGATAAATGCCTTGGTCGAGGACATATCAAAGACAAAAGCAGAACTTAAGGACTAATCTGTCTTACCACAGAACAGTATAATGGTATAATGGTTGAATTACAACCAGTATTCAAGGACCATTGCTTCTTCAGTATGCCCAAGGTGAGCAGTTACTTACCAAGGTCACATAGCTACTTATAATAACAGCAGAGCCAAGATTTGAATATGATTACCATAACACCCAAGCCACTTAAAGATCAAAATCATCATGGCCTCAAGACAGGGTTTAAGAGAGGCACTTTGGAAGTAAGATAGCCCAGAGTAGTAAGAAAAAAGTGTGCAAGAGTTTAGGGGTCAATTATCAGTTCAAGGTGACAGCAAGAAGTGCCCCATAGCTAAGTGGTTAGGGCGCTGGCCACATGCACCAGAGCTGGTGGGTTTGAACCCAGCCCAGGCCTACTAAACAACAACAGCAACAAAAGAATAGCTGGGCGTGGTGGAGGGCGCCTGTAGTCCCTGCTACCTGGGAGACTGAGGCAAGAGAATCACTTAAGCCTAAGAGTTTGAGGTTGCTGTGAGCTGTGTTGCCATAGCACTTTACTAAGGGCCACCTAGTGAGACTCCTGTCTCAAAAAAAAAAAAGTGCTTTACAATTTATAAATTTCCTAGAACCTATTAAATGCTCAATAAATGAATATTATAAAATTCTTTCTTGCTGGATATGGTGGCTCACGCCTGTAATCCCAGCACTCTTGGAGGCTGAGGCTGGTGGATTGCCTGAGCTCACAGGTTAGAGACCAGCCTTGAGCCAAAGCGAGACCCTAGTCTCTTAAAATTAGCTGGGTGTAGTGGGGTACACCTGCAGTCCAGCTACTTGGGAGGCTGAAGCAAGAGAATTGCTTAAGCCTAAGAGTTTGAGGTTGCTCTGAGATGTGTTGCCATGGCACTCTACCAAAGGCAACATAGTGAGACTCTTTAAAAAAAAAAAAAAAGGGCAGCACCTGTGGCTCAGTGAGTAGGGCGCTGGCCCCATATACCGAGGGTTGGTGGGTTCAAACCCGGCCCTGGCCAAACTGCAACAAAAAAATGGTCAGGCATTGTGGCAGGGGCCTGTAGTCCCAGCTACTCTGGAGGCTGAGGCAAGAGAGTCACCTAAGCCTAGGAGTTGGAGGTTGCTGTGAGCTGTGATGCCACAGCACTCTACCGAGGGCAATGAAGTGAGACACTGTCTCTAAAACAAATAATAAATAAATAAATAAAATAAAGGCAAGGCACAATGGGGTAGGGGTGAGGTTGTTAGAAATGTTTATAAGTCCAGGGTTGTAATCCAGACCCACACAGGATAAAAACCTGAACTAAATTGGAATTAGGGAGCTGGATTCTAACATTTTATCTCCCCTTTTCAGAGCTTCTTACTACAGGTTCTACAAAGTCCATCAAAACCACCAGATGGTTACTGACACTGATGGCAATTCCCAGCTTCCTGCTCACAGGGTATGTGTTGCAAAGATCTTTTAACTTGCATTTTCAATCAGAAGATCTTGAATTCTAGCAGTCTTAATAAAAACTTCTTCCGTCATAATTTTGTATAGTGATTCACCATAAATTATTTTTCAAAAGTATTTAAATATATACTTTACCTATCAGTCTCATGCTATCTCTTAATTATTAATTTATCTAAGACTGTTTCTACGTTATAAGAATTTAACTCATCCTTTCTACTTGTCTTACTGTAGGAATACGGCACAGCCAGATGAGGAATACTGTATTACGTAAATGTATTTGAGGAAATACCTTCTCCACTACCTCACCAACTTGATAATTGGCATGCCACTTGGTTTTTTGCCAAAGCTCCTCTGTAGTTTATTTTGCTGATAATGTTAACACCAGGGGATTTTGTAAATCACTTTTACATGTGGGAATAGTTGTATACAATTTAAACCACGGTTCTAGGTGGCTGAGGATTGTTTTTTTTAAATCTTTGGACTGTATTTTTATAAAACCAATGTTGATTTTAACTGCATATTTTTATCTATAAACTGGTAAACCTCATGACAAAGAAAAAGAATGTACCTAAGCTTCTTTTCATTTACAGAGTGTCAAGTTATTTAATTCTTCTACAAATCTATTTTTCATAAGAAAATAAAAGATACAATCAACTTGGTTTGTCATCTAACTTTATAAGTCAGTCATCAAATTTTTACCTGATTCCAAAAAAAAATACTTCAAGTAGTTTTTCCATCTCTTACTTGGAGGTTGAAGTATATTATCAATGAATATATGCATATTCATGAATAAAACTATTACATTTCAGATGCTTGTCCTCAACCAAAAATATTCTTTGGTGGAAAATTAGGAAAACTTCATTTTTTTTTTTTTTTTTTTTAGACAGAGCCTCAAGCTGTCCCCCTGGGCAGAGTGCCGTGGCATTACAGCTCATGGCAACCTCCAACTCCTGGGCTCAAGCGAGTCTCCTGCCTCCGCCTCCCAAGTAGCTGGGACCACAGGCGCCCGCCACAACGCCCGGCTATTTTTTTTGGTTGCAGCCGTCATTGTTGTTTGGCGGGTCCGGGCTGGGGATTCGAACCCGCCACCTTAGGTGTACGTGGCTGGCGCCTTAGCCGGTTGAGCTATAGGCGCCGAGCCGAAAACTTCATATTTTAAAGAATGTGACCCACTGATAAATTCAAATTGTGTTCAGACATTTAAAAGTTTTTGAATTATTATAATTAACAGTTCAACTCTGATGTGTACATTTTTTAAAAAAACAATAGCAGCCAGGGCTCGGCGCCTGTGGCTCAAGTGGCTAAGGGGCCAGCTACATACACCTGAGATGGTGGGTTCAATCCAGCCCGGGCCTGCTGAACAATGATGGCTGCAACCAAAAAATAGCCAGGTGTTGTGGCGGATGCCTGTAGCCCCAGCTACTTGGGAGGCGGAGGCAGGAGACTCACTTGAGCCCAGGAGTTGGACAGGTTGCTGTGAGCTATGATGCCATGGTACTCTACCCAGGGGAACAGCTTGAGGCTCTGTCTCAAAAAAAAAAAAAAAAAAAGAATAGCAGCCAGGTGCAGTGGTTCACACCTGTAATCCTAACACTCTGGGAGGTCATGGTGGGTGAGTTTCCTGAGCTCAGGAGTTCAAGACCAGCCTAAGCAAGAGTGAGATCCTGTCTCTACTAAAAAAATAAAATAAAATAAAATAAAAAATAGAAAAACGAAAATAGCCAGGTGTTGTGCACCTGTAGTCCCAGCTACTCGGGAATCCGAGGCAAGACAATCGCTTGAGGCTAAGAGTTTGAGGTTGCTGTGAGTTAGGACGCCACAGCACTCTACCGAGTGAGACTGTCTCAAAAAAAAAAAAAAAAGCAACTGCTGTTATAGTTCGTGGCAACAGAATTACTCCCAGGGAAAGGGGTAAATATGATAGATTTTTAAATAGTTCCGAGAACTCTTTTCTAGGCCACTAGACAGCTTTTCAGCCGTAACAGGCATTATACCATGTTTCTACAGTACAGAATAGCACAGTGAATGCAGTAATCCCTCATCACTGAGGTTTATAGTACTAAAAAGTTAACGGTCCTACAACTGGACCATTAAGATATGGGATAAATATAATTACAATAAAGACAATGAAAATGACATAATTTATTAACATAGTAAAACAAAACTTATCTATAAATTTACATTCTCTTGTTTTACTTAAGTCTTAGCGAAATGCTTACAGGTCTGACCTATTTACAATTACTGACATCCTTCAGGGACACAATTTTATAAGGCCTTTGTTGAAAGAGGTTAGAGCATCTCCTCTCCAAACTGCCTGTGAACCCCCTCTGTACTCCCTCACAAGCAGGAATGGAAAGTAGTTTTTGGTCTTTTCTTCTATTGAAAGGATGAATTGAACCATTCATCTATAGAAAAAAAAGATCACACTTAACAACAGTGGACATATGGGCAAAAAAGTACTCAAAAACTATGTTCTCACAGAATTAGAGAAGGGAGATGACATAAAAAGCCAAATACCTGGTTTCAAAAGATATCCAAGGAAATTTTACTACCTGTAACTAGTATTCTGTATATAATACCAACCAAAAAAAAAAAAAAAAAAATCAAGTTTACTGCATCAAACACTTTATTATCCAGGAAAAATACTTGAACATTGTACTGGAATGTCTAATGCATAAATAGTACCAAGCACCAATTACTAATCAGAGGGCCTCCTCATATATCTGAGGGCAACAAGTAACCCAGAAAAGCAGGTGACCCACACAAGCAGTAAGCTCTTATGGATTAAAAATTAAGAATTTCACATTGTCTCCAAAACGTACTGCCCAGTGTCTGGCACACAGATGTTACAATATGACAATTTGCTCCTCTATCTTTGAGCACCCAAGTTTATTATAAGGGATTACACATGCAAATAGTTTGGCCCCATGTACAAAGGAGAACACTATCAGCCATCAAATGAAAAAGGCTGATTAAAACATTGCAAGGGGGATGCAAACACAAGGATAAAACTGTAGCTCAATTACTTAGTGATACGGTTCTATATACGAGATATATAGACCTCTCTATACAGTAAGGACAGTTCTGCAATAAAAACTGACATGCCTAACAACTGCTCACCTGAAGAAAATAAACCCTATTATAGTTCAGAAAATAATGCAACCAATTTTAATTTAATCTAGATACAGGTACTTTATTTACAAATATTTAGATTAATAGCATTTTGTTACATCAAATGAGTACAGCAGTCTGAATAAATCCTTCTGTCACAAAAACAGTAAGACCCACTGTAGCTAACTTTGGGAATCAGGGTATTGCACCTAAACAAGCCGCAGTCTTTAGTTTGTGATTGCTACCTTATATTCCAACGGGTAGTTTGTGTGTGTTGTTTTTGTAAATACACACCAGCAGGTCATGGTCCCTGGGCAAATCCCTTGTGATGCAACAGTGTAAGCAAAATGGACTCTTTAACAGAATATACCAATCTACTCCAGGAATCTTATTTCTTAAAAAGTTAAACAAAGACAAAAATAAAAATAAGTCCACAAATTAACCAAATCCTATTTTCTGCACATTCCAGTTTTGGCTTTTATTTAACATTGACTATACAATTCTCTGGTACTACCACATGTTTACAACCCAGAAAGATGTACTTTTGCGTTAGTGTCTGTAAAGAGGGATTTCAAATGTGTATTTTAAACACACCAGTTGAGCTGAATGCATTTCATATAATATGCCAAGGTTTACTTATCCTACTTCAAATAACTTCTCAATTCTCAGCCACGAAGCCATAAACTCAATTAGGAATCAATCAACAGAAATGAAGGACTTAGTAAAACTTAAGTTTGTTGTCTAAACAAATAAGATTGTTTCTTTTACAATACAGTATTCTTTCAGTGGCCAAACCACCTAGTGCAAAGTAATAATTTACTTTGTATCAGCACAAACACTGAAACATTAATAGAAACATGTTCCCTTTTACAAAATAATTTATGCCAACATGACATAAAATAGCCCCTCATACTATGAACACAAGGGATATCTTAAATTATTTCACTGTAGTGTTAAAAATGCACAATTTAAAATCCCTTAACAGCAGACCTGTGGTTCTGGCTGTCTGGTTCAGAATCTGACCATTCCAAGAAGATAAAGGTATAAAAGCTTAAAATGTGCAATAATAAACCCAGCCTTTTTTCTTTTTCTATACAGTAAGGCAAGAATGCAGCCTGTAATGCAAACGTTTACAAAAAGAAAAGCAGGTTAGCACATTGTCGATTGCACAAGAACAGTTAAGAAAATCAGCAGGTAAGCAACAGTGCAAAGATGGAACAGAATCTGCTAGTGTTAATCCTCTGATGCTAGGAGCTCTTTCCAGCATAATGTCCCCAAACACTGCCAGCACCAAGGGGTGGAGCCAGTACCACTTGTGAACTGCAGTTGTGTCTATTTCCTTGTGTGAAATGGAAGGGAATAACATGGTCACATATAGGTCATACTGTACAAACTGGTATTTTATACTGTTCCAATGCCAGTAATCAATTTATTTTCTTCATTAAAATAATATACAGAATGTACTGTTAGTTCGGTTCCTTCAAATTTTATACATATTTACTTTCTGTTAAAGAAAAAAGGATAAAATGATAAAAAAAAAAAAAAAGATAAAGCTATTAATTAAGCATGAGAGAGAAGAATAAATGGATATTTTCCCTGTGCAAGGCTATGACAGAACCAAACTTCATCAAGAAAAACGCCACCCACACAACAGGGAATTTACCCAACATAAAACAAATCAAAAGCAGTTACAGAACCCCTTCTCTACCATCAGAAGTCATTTCACAGCAATGAACTTATTGGTTACAACAGACATACTTCAACAGTTAAAGGTCAGGAGAAAAGCTTAAGATTATCATCAAATTAAACCATACAATGAGACAAAGCCTTGCCAAAGAGGGAGGGTAAAAAATCATGAAGTCCAGCATCAGTGCTCAGTTTAAATCATATATTGGTGACATACCTATCACGAGGACAAGGGGGGGAAAAAAAACTCTAGATTTACCATGCAGGAGAGATTACTCTACTTGCCTTTGATAACCTGATTACATCTAGTTGTTTAGCAGTTTAGTATTGTGTTAAACTGTTTTTACAACAGAGTTTTTTCTTTTTTTTTCTTTTTTTTTTTTAATTAAACCCAGTAAGATGTACAGAAGACAATGAGGCAGTAAAAAGTACTGCTTCCGACAGACAGAGGTGAAAGGTCAAATGAGGGGCCTCAGCAAACAGGTCACTAGCAGCCACAGCCTTCTCTCTGGGGCTGGGGTTCACTGGTTAGCCGGCCTCCCTGCGGGGCTGAGGGTTTGTGTTGTACACCAGACTCAGCAGCATTCAGATCCAGGCTTCCATCCTGAATGTTCTGATAGATTTTCTTGGCAGCCTCAAGGAAGGCATCTTCTACATTCTCTCCCCTAAGGGGCAATTGACAATGTTATTCAAGAACCACAGCTTTCTACAAAAGATAAGGCATTATACACTGATATTTTGCCAACATTTAGTCAACTGTCATGATGTCTTCAACTTAGCCACTATCACCTAATAAGAGATTATCAGAAG